GCCGTGTGCAGTTGCGGTGAACTCCCACAAATCCAAACACGAAGCGCAGCCGCCCCAGGGGAACGGGGGGCCGGTTTGGACGACTGAAACAGTTTTTCGGAACCGTTGGAATTGGTGGATTCGGGTAGATTGGCCGACAAATCAGTTTTCTGCCAAAGGCGATGACGTAGCCTTCCAGGTCCTCAATCTCCCAACTTGAGTTTGATAAGGCCTGTCAGACTCACTTCGAACCAATGCTCAGAGGTTGGGCTGCCTGTAAGACTTACGAGCACATTTGCCTCCCAAAAGGCCCTGATCAGTATTGAAACGTGCGCACGGCATGTCTTTGTACAATGGGCATTCCTGAGCATTCACAGCTTCACCGGGCGAAGATTCCCGTTGGCATTGGCAAGTAAGCCTCTACGTGCAGGAGCTACTGACAATACAGTATATATAATTCTACTGTGATATGTTCAAAATGGTCAAAGGTTTACAACTGGACCTGATGAAGGAATGGAATAGATGCGGGAAAACAGGTTATTAATATGGTTAATTTATACATCATAAGCCCCTGTATAGTAACAAATCTGTCGTCAAATTGGCAGTGGCTCCCATCAAAAAAAACAGCTTGAACAAACCGAATGCGGACCGCTCCTCGGTGCCGACTGTATATGGCGTCCATCGGCCGTCGGTCCGTGCGAGAGCGAGCCCTCGAGTATGAGCCTAAAGATAGACATTCTCGCACAGGTTGAGGGTCTTTGTTTGATATCTTGAGGGTCTTGGACACCAGGTCCGTGCAAGTGAGGTCGGGTCGAACAGGAGCTGATTCAAGGACCGCGTCAACAACGAACCAGCCGCATAGCCAGCAGGGCCAACCACCAGCACCTGGTCCCCGGACTAGATTGGCATGTCTACAGACAAGCAGCTCAAAGGTCCGGATGAGCTACAGTTGCGCCTGAAGTTTAGGTTGATACATGAGAAACCCGTTCTCCTTACAACCCGAGATGTCACGGGCCATATCTCGCACCGGATCTCCATACCTAAAAGCGTTGTCACTAACATCTAATCTGACCGTGCCGCATGCCAATCCGATCCTCTAATGGACAGCAGGCATGATGCAACATATTAAGACTTAAGAGGCATCAACTTTAGACTTCCCATATCTTCCCAATTGAAGTCTGAAGAGTCTTCCCTACATTTTCCAACAAGACCCTTCAGGCTGGGTATCCGAATCTGCCAATCAGGGGAGATCTATAGCTTGCCCAAACCGGGTCGGTCCGATTGGTTTCTGACAGATCTGCTGACCCAAGGCAGTACTGCCCGATGACCCCAGAAGACCAAACATACAGTACAGGATCGGAGGAGCAGGACAAGCATTCTTTTGGCATCCCAATACAGTACATCTTCCAACCCTCAACCGGCAGCGACAATGAGCTTATGAGGAACACGCCACGCATAATCATGCACAGCATGTGGCCGCATGTGGTCCCATGTTTCCAGTCCGGGCTATCGTAAAATCATCATCCGATGGTGCCGCCGAGTGCCATGACAAGTGCTGGTGCCCACTGATGCCCTGTTGGTTTCGGCCGAAAGGTTCATGTTTGCAACCCCAAAACTGCTGGCAGCACATCTGGAGTGCGTTCTTGCTATGACCAAATCTCCATTGGCCTGAATGAGATGTCTTCTGCATCAAAAGGAAAGATCAGCAGCAGTGGTTCGGTCCTGAATAAAAATTTGTCAATTCAATTCACTCCCCTTCAATTGTTTGATAGGGCGGGGGGGATCTGTTCAGTGTTTGAGATCCAAGATCAGCGGAACTGAAAGATTCCAATCCCACTGTCCAGCCTTATGTTCCAAAACTTGGACAGACTGATAAACCACACGGAGTTCGGAAGAGTTGAAGAAGCTTGCGTAGCACCTCATCAACATCCTAAACAGTTTAAACAGTCCATGCATGGCACACACACATATATATATATATTGGGAGGGAGTTTCAGATTATATATATATATATTCCATCATGATGTCTGGGGCACCTATCAACGATTGGACGAAACATGCGGGGAATAACTGCGACCACGTGCAGGGGATAAGGCACTGCTGGACAGTTCCGGGCTGCTTTCCTGCCGTAGGATGCTCACACTGATTTCAACTGTCAGGGCTTGTGACCATTCCAGCAAAGCAGAGTATCCGCTCTTGGCGGAGCAGGGCTGCCCTTCAGCGTGAAGCTTTTCCAGTGACCGGTGATAGGTGCAAGTGGAGTCAGTGTAAATTGAGTGATTGCTCGTGCTCCAATGTCCTTTCAACGCCAAGGATTGAGCATCCACCAAGTTTTGATCGTTTTCTCTATACCCAACAGCACTCCTTTGTTCCTTCCCTTTTCATGCAGGAATAGGGGAACCTGCTTGGAAATCATCCCCACTGAGTGCCAAGCAGTCGATTGATGAACACCTGCGATGAAGAAAACAAACCACCTAGTCATGTGGACTGTTGATTTATAATCCCCCCATAAGGAGATGTTTGACCACTTACAGTCTACACAGCACACGCACATACACATACATATATAATATATAAAATACACATACATATCATTAACTCAAACTAACAGAACTCACCCATTTCTAAACGTGCCCTGCCAAGATTGGCATTCGGTCGCCCCGCGGCATCACAGCACCCGAACCGGAAGAGTCTCCAGCGCGCCGAACGCTAGATACCAAAGCCTGGGTTGATCCTCCCAAATAAATAGACTTCTTGTTCGTTCTTGGAGGTGAATATAACTATGATTTAATAATATAATCAAAGCTTCAATTAGGATGGTCAAACATGGTCGAGAAAAAAAAACAACGTACTGTAATACATGATTCATGATCCTACAATCATACATGACATCTACGGAGCCTGTGGCTTGCCCCGAGCTTGGAGACATTTCTGCCTCCACATCTGTGCCGAAACAAATCAACCCATGCGGATGACGCGCAACACGGCTCAGCAGTGGGCTCGCAGGCAGGGAGGGGACTGTGCTCAACCTGCACTGTGCCAAGTGCCTGACCGAGTAATCATGAGCTGGTGGTTCAAGGTCAAACTCTTCAGAATAACAAAGCAGCTCCGTTGGGGATCGCCCGTTGGGGTCTGTATGGGTCTGTTTGGTGGCAAAGGCGAAACAGGTCTGCGGCCTTGACCAACAGGAGTGGCCTTTGATCATCAACACCAATGCCAAACCACCATCCTGTGCCAAACCAAATACTCAATGCCCCCACCACCTGAGCTTTTTTGTAGGAGAGCCCAGGCGACCCACCGGTGATCCAGCTGGCGACCACCACACCATTCAAGTGGATTCTGCTTTCCAAGATACGAGATCGAGTTCCAAGAATTACAATAGGTGGGATAGACGGTCAGCCCCAGATCCAAGAAGGGGCCCATCTGTCTCTTCACTGTGGCACCCCCAAGATCCACCCGATATAATGGTTGGGGTGCCCGGGAATCTATCATCTTATTATTTGCCATTGATTTGTTCATAAGATAATAATAAGCCAAGACAATCGATGGCAATTCATTCATTCATTAATTCATTTTAATAAGAACCTAGCCTGTTGAAGCGTCTGTTGGTACAGAATGAATTGAAGTTTGGATCATGAAAAGTAAGATATGACAAATAATTAACAATTGATCCATTTATATTATCCACATAAGAAAGACCAAACAGAATAACATAAATAGGGCCAAGCTTTTATTCCTTCATCATTGTCTTATTAAAAAGCTTGGCTTTTTTATATAAAAGAAATGTATTATAAATAGCTGTGGACCGGTCCTGTCATCTCTCTAACTCTTGGTCCACAGCCTATGGGATTATATCTTGGCATTTTTGCTATAAGAAATGGAATTATGAAATAAAACATGCCAAGAATCACCCAATATGTTTGGAGAAGAAATCTATTAGCAAAAATATTGGGACATAAGAATTTCCTTTTCATCGCTTGGGCACGTGGACACTTCTCTCTTAATTTGTGGGTAACGTTTTATCTGTTTTGGAGGTTAGCTCTTATGCCAACGGCCTGACAATATGACCCTGAGCACCCACACAGACTTGGGGAATCCCAAGAGCAGGAAAGAAGGAAAGACGTACAACCTATGAACTTTATTATGCTATGCAATGCAATGTTATTTTAATAGCAATATTACAAATAAAACGGCATAATAAAATTCATAAGGGGCAGTAGGCGGCTGGAGACCATTCCCTTTATATGTTCTATAAATCTCTTATCAACATATAAAGGGCACAACTTCCGCCCGGCAGCGCCTGAGAACTTCAAACGCTCCAAACTCCAAACTTCAGCGCCTGAGTCCACAGGTGAAACCTCGGGGCGTTTGGCTCTGGCGTGTCGGGTTCTCCGAACATATGGAACCAAGAGTGAAGGCAAAGACCAGAAAGGCAATCAAGTAGAGGTAATCAAATTGTTGCGGAGAAGCTTGATCCGATTTTCCCAACCTACGACAGTAGTATATAAATGTATATAACATGGGACTTCGATTTTGCGGTGCAGGATCTAGTGGACTTGAGACAAGGACTTCCAACTGTGTTGCGACAGTATCAGAACGTCCAACTTGGCCCGGATTGAAGGACTGCGAGGCTAGGAACCACAGAGCCCTCGTGCTTCTGTGCTAGTCAGTAGCTGCCTCGTTTTGAGGAGTGGGTGGGGGTAAACGACAACAGTACTTCAAACTTCATACATACAGTAATATCAGTAATCCCATACACCGGCCACACTGCATGGAGCAAAGTGACTTTGCTGATATGACTGCCAGAACAAATCTGGAATGCATCAAGGGAGATGCCTCCACCTCCAACCTCCAAAATCATCAATCATTCAATTATTCCAACACTTGCAACGGCTGCTGCAACACGGCAGCCCCGACAATGGTCCACACATGAAGAACTCTTTCATCCATCCATCCATCCGTCCGTCCTTTCCACATTCCCATGTCTTTGGCGGCTTCTTCAGTCAAAGCCACTGTGCTGCTTAGCTTTCGGGTGGACCCACGTGGTCAGCGCAGTCCGCTCGGCAAATGGGACCTGAGCAAATGCCGCTTGCAACAACACCAGGTCACCAGCTGCTGAGCTGAGGCGGTCGAGCCCCTTCGAGAAAACAAGTCAGAAATGAACCGCCTGATCTTGCGGGAAAACACCTCAATCGACAAAAACCGAGCAACGGCTCGAGCGGCTCGTGGATTTTCCTCGGCGATGAAAGCAGCCGCCACCCCCCCGTCCGACGGAACCTTCCAGCCGGTTCTGAGCGGTTCTGGGTGTTCGGACAAGAGCAGCTCTTCTCGGTGAGCCACTCATCCACACACTTGGAGTGGAAGGAATGACCTCGGTGATGGCCCACCGGGGTCGGAGTGTAAGAGTTGTTTTTTTGGCGTGGCCAAAACACAGAGACAGGAACGTGCAAACGAATGACACTGACACCTACATAAATGGCTTCAATTCTGCCATGTCCAGGATGATTGAACAATATCCATCATAGTATGATTCATATGATTATTGGGTAGGTGTTGTGTTCAGCAAATGGTCAACATTCAGAAGCTCAGGGTGAACAATATCCATCATAGTATGATTCATATGATTATTGGGGAGGTGTTGTGTTCGGCAAATGGTCAACATTCAGAAGCTCAGGGTGCGCAACATGTGGCAATATGTGAATTTTATATATAGACTGTAGTGTGACAAAGGTGAAGGAATTGGAGTTTGCCAACTGCTCCAGTCTCCGGACAGGGATCCCTTTCTAGCTAAGACCTTGGCATGCAACATGCCGCATCCGCTCACCCGCGTTTCCGACAATGGCCACACCTCCCAAAACACTCACTAAATATCGGCTTTATGGTACTGTTGAGGTTGGGATTGAGAGTAGGATCGCCATATCATCCTTGGCATTCTTTGGTCAGGTGATCTCTGGGCCAAATGCTACGAGCCTTGTCATGATCACCTTTGATCCCATGTGGCTCCACCATTGTGCATCTATACAAATCGAGAAAACAAATGATCCGAAGATATCAGAACAATGTACACAGGGCAGAAGTTTGTCCTTCCCTGGTCCTTCCCCCAACATTCTTAGGTTCTAGTGACTGCAGTCGGCCTCATATTCCCTCCAAAGTGGTTGAACCTAATAATTAATAGACTGACAATCCAGGCGATAACCATGGATAACCGATAAACCAACCAAAGGGGTAGGACCTGTCTCGTGCATGCACCCATCCCAAACAGGCGGCCACAAGGAAGCTTTCTAAGCTCTTCATTCTCCGCAAAGTCTTCCAAGCAAATCTGGCAACATCGCTCATCCTCTGAACCTGACAGGAGAAACCAGGAAGTTCTTCGATCTTGAGATCTCGATTGGAGTAATACTAATAAAACACAATAGAACTACTACTGTGATAAAATGTCCCATTGCTGCTGGGTCCATTTCTTCGGTGCGATTATAACTTACCGTATGTTTTTCTAATTCCATGGCTGATGTCACTAAAACTTGTCGACTCAGGGCACAAAGACCGCTGCTACTGCTGGACCTTGGTTTGCTGTGGAAGGCTGTGGAAGCGGGGCCTGCTTGTTTTCAAATCTTTCATTCAGAGTTCATAACCAGGTGTCTTGGAGATGACCAGCCTCAAATCGATTGATTCGTTTGATGTGTCTGGTCGCCCCTCTCCCATAACGCAGGGATTTGCTTGGAACTCAAGGGGCCTTTTCACCGTTGAACCGTTGATGAGGACGTGCACAAAATTCACAAACATGGACACCGTCCACGCACATCCGGAGTCATGGAACAAATCCACAAATCCTAGGCCCTGAGATCTGCGGGGTTTTGGAAGTCGAACATGTTTGGGCCAAGTCATGTGGAGCGTGACATGTGGACCGTGACCATGACGTGACTCGGAGGGCCCAGAAACCTCACCGTTGAACCCAACTCCCCGGGCCTGGTGGGATCTCCGCGGCAGAGAAGCGCCACAGGATGAGGCTCTGTAGATCGTCATCGGTGGCACAACCTCGTTGTGACGCTCCGAAACGCTTCGGTCGTGGTCTGCTCTTGGATCTGCTCTCCAGCGGAAAATCTAAAGCGGTCAGAGCAGAGTCTCGGGAGAGATGGTGTTCTGGGCCTCCAGGAGGCTTTCGGGCAACCCTGCCTTGCACTGCTCTCTGTGTGTGTGCGCATCTAGTCATGTGAATGACATGACGTTGAGTTCGGTGAAGGTCTTTCTGGACAGCTGCCCATACACTTGCGTGGCTTCACATGCGGATTCACCTGCAGCCAGCTCGGTAAGTGTTGCAGGCGAAATGCGTGACTGCATGACTGTCGGACACCTCTTTAACTTGAACAGCTGGGTAGTTGCTAAGACGGAGGCACTCACTAAAGTGCCAACCAATGCATGAAAACAGACCTTGTTACCCAGGCAAAACTCTGAGGCTGAGATGGCCCAAGATGTTTATCTAATTTCTCGTCTACCTGGTCTACATGATGTTCTTCTTCCGCTGTAGTCTGCCAGGCTCCTGTCAACAGGCTACGGGCCGCGACTTAATTTTGTTTTTTTTGTCTATTTTTGGATTTTGTTTTTTCCCCAGATAGCGAGGCTATGGGGTTCTTACTTCAAATAACAATGAGTTGCCCGTGCGCGCTTTCGAGACAGGTTGCTGGTGCTGGTGCTGGTGCTGGGTGCCGGTGCTGGTGCTGGTGCTGTGAGCTGGCTGTGCACGTGCTGGAGATAGGTTGCTGGTGCCGGTGCAGGTGCTGGGTGCCGGTGCTGGTGCTGTGGGCTGCGCACGCGGTGGAGACAGGTTGTTGGTGCGGCTGTGCACGTGGTGGAGACATGCTGGTGCTGGTGCCGGGTGCCAGTGCCGGTGCTGGGTGCTGGGTGCCGGTGCTGGTGCTGTGAGCTGGCTGAGCACGTGGTGGAGACAGGTTGCTGGGTGCTGGTGCTGGGTGCCAGGTGCAGGTGCTGGTGCTGTGAGCTGGCTGTGCGCGTGGTGGAGACAGGTTGCTGGTCCCGGTGCTGGTGCTGTGAGCTGGCTGTGCACGTGGTGGAAACAGGTTGGTGGCGCTGGTGCTGGGTGCCGGGTGCTGGTGCATGGTGCTGTGAGCTGGCTGTTCTGGTGCTGGTGCTGGGTGCTGGGTGCTGCTGGTGCTGTGAGCTGGCTGTGCACGTGGTGGAGACAGGTTGCTGGTGCCGGTGCTGGTGCTGGAGCTGGCTGTGGAC